TTTTCCAAAACATATTTTCTTATTAATTAACTAAAACTCAAAACCAGGAAATAAATAATAAATTGGAATAAAAGAGAGTTTAAAGAACTTCTGGAGCTAAAGAAACAATTTTTGTAAAGTTTTCTTCTCTTAATTCTCTAGCTACAGGTCCAAAAACACGTTTTGTCTATTTTTTCAAGACATGAAGCCAAAAATTAAGTACAGTCAGTCTTTTTTTTGCAATACACAAAATAACGGTTATTGTGAATATTCCAATAAGATCTGTTATCAATTCAATAATAGTAGAAATAGTTTTTTGGGTATATATTTCTACCAAATAAATAATAGGAGGTCGTGGGTTCAATCCCCATTGGCCTCATGTCCCTTCCTGGGCATGCTTGGCACCCACCACCTGGAGATAGTCCACTGGATCCCCCGATCGGCATTGAGCAGAGTCTGCTGATGTTCGTAGGGGAGGGGACCTGACGCCACTGATGGGAGGCGCAGGGATTGGTCCTTGATGCTACCGGCTGTCCCCTGGCAGAGCCGGCATCGCCCACCTGCAGGCCGGGAGCAGCTCCCGCATGTTCTCTCGTGACCACAGTTCTGGCTGCTACGGGGTTCCCGGTATGACTATAATTAGTAGTAGTGGTAGGTAGGTAGTGTGAGGTGAAATTGAGAGAAGAATGTAGCCTACTTTTAGGGGGGGGAATCGTTGCGGCTTAGGGCAGACTCGCACTCTGAATCTCCCGCTAGAACATGGGGAGACATACCCATTTTTTTTTGTTTCCTTTTTGGTAGCCCGCATTGGACCTTGGCTCCAGCACTCACCGAATGTGCAAAATATGAACGAACCTCCTGATGGAACATCGTAAGATACACAGCTGTTTTTTATTTCGGCGGGTGGCCTCCTGAGTGGAGGGGCTTGGGGCATACTTCCGCTACGAGTTTCTTTGCTTTTTCTGTTTGTTTGTTTTTCCCTTCTGGATCGTGCTTCGCGTGGGTCTCCCTGCCCTCCCTCCCTCCTGCAATGACTTGCTGGTTCCAGGTTGCCTGTAGCCTCACTCTGACGAGGGTGTACCATAGTCAGGGGTAGATCCGTAATTTTTGTTTGGCTGAGGACTAACTGAGAGACCTGCCTGTATGGAAATTCGTGAGGGACATATTTGTAAATATAGAAATATGGGCCCAGTACTACTTCGATTTTCCTACAGCTACCCTAACTGCGAATAGCAGACCCGGGCTACCCCTAGGACAGACAGGCCCTATGGGCCTGCGCTGATAGACGGTCCTATAGCCTATAGCCGGGTAGGGAGAGGCCCTAGAGGCCGAAACAGAAACGGTACCGGTCGGTCAGTCAGTCCGGTCTAGGTTGGTCCAGGCTAGTGCTAGGGTATAGATAGGATGGGGACATTGGTCCTGGGCTTTTGGCAGTTGACACTTCGTGGTGGAAGTTGCTGCGCACACGGTATCAGGTCGTGGTTGCTGATTCCCGTGGTGGAGACGGCGGACATAGCCAGACCTCCGGAGCGCTGACCGGACTGGGGTCAACGCTGTCCGCTCTTGACTCTCGGAGAGTCAAAGCGGTCTGGGCTATCAGAGGTCTGATGCGTTGGAGCACGTAGTGCACTGCTGACCCTCCTCAGGCGATGCAGCCATAGCTGCATCTTCTCAGAGGTTATCATCGTCTGGACTTCATCTTCATCAGGGACTGTTGGCGCTGAGCTTCTTCTTCATCATCTGGATGGCGATTGGCTCTGGGAGCCTGTTTCACTTTGGTGCAGGCCACTGAGTTGGATGTCAGGGTGGCGCTGGGTGTTACCTGGGGTTTCGGTGTTATTTTTAGCTGTTCAGGGTGTTGGGGTTGAGGCGCTACCCCTCTGAGGGTGGCACAACAGGGTTCTGAGGTTATTCAGTGAAAACAATGCTCTGAGTGTAATAAACAGTTGTAATACTGTGTTCAAGTTGTCATCTCTTCATTGGTTTCTGGCTGTGATCACTCGGTTGTCTTCTATGGATGATTGTTGGGATCTGTGTGGAGAGAATTCACAGTTTGTGTGTTCTGTCACTTCGCTCCTCTGAGTCTTCCGCTGCGTTTCTTTCTGTTGGGCGGCGTGATACTCCACTACCTCTCCCCTTCCTTCTGTGCATGTATGGGCGTGTACGGGAGTTCCTGTGAGTGAGTGTTGATAAAATTTCAACAGACAATCATGTTCATAATACTCCTCTGCCCTCGCTTCACTGCGGCAGGGTCCACTTGTATTAAAAAGGTCACATCCTTTGATATGCATCAAGTGCGTTTAATAAATTAATATTCACAGTGAGCGGCTTTCATCACTGTCAATCTGGGCAGATCTTGTGTCCGCGTGATGACGGAGAAAGATTAGCAATGCCGGGGGTCGCGCATCTTTTTCACGATTGCCCGAGAGAGATCCCCTCCATTTTACCAGACTTTTCAGACCATCGATTATTTTTTCTACTTGTTTTTTTTTTTTTGCCTTCATGTCATGTTTTGGGAGAAAGAGAAGGCCGGTTTCGGCGGTTTGGAAATGGCATTGCTAACTTCCGACGCGTCCGATGCACTGACACGTTTTTGGCAGGTCCCAGCTCTGACGTTTACAGGGAAGATCCGGCACCCGTGCTACAGCTCGCAAGCCCAAGAGGACAAGCTGTTTGTAGAAGTCGTTACGCGGACAGTTCTGAAGACGAAGTCCTTGAGGAGCCTTAAAGTCACTCAATCGCCCGGAATCTTCGGCTCGGAGGTTCTGGATCGGATCTTATCTCATGCAGGTCCCTGGCTAGAGGAGTTGAGCCTGGAAGTGGGTACAAGCGCTGGCGAAATTGCCATCTTGTCCTTGGAGGTCCTCCTGAGGAGATGTCAGTCCCTCCGAAAACTCTACGTATCGATTCAAGATCTGTATATTCAGGGCATCTCGGTCAGCGAGGATGTGACTCGGATTGCGCTTGTGAGCAATCGCATAGATGAGGAGAAGTGGGAGGAGTACACAAGCTCAGAATCTTTGCTCAGTTTGCGAGGGGGGGGTAGTGCAATGTGTAAAAGCCTGCGTCATCTGGAGGTCTGGGGAATGCTATCCGGCTTCACTGGCTTGGGAGGTACGCAGCTGGTGGTTGCAGAGCCTCTCCCTTGTTTTCACGTCTTGCTCTCACTGTTCCCGAATCTGGAAACACTTGCGATTGGCCTTCAGGATGGCACCGCCGAGAATGCGTCGATAGAAATCACATCCTTACCGAAGCTCAGAGAGTTGACGGTGTCGGCAGCGACTATGACGCCGCAAGGAGCGTCGTTTGCCTTCATCGACTCGTTGATTGTGGATGCGCCGTGGTTGTCGACAATCGACGTCAACGGTGTGCGCTTCGTCTCGATCAAAGGTAAGGTGGACATAGATTCGTTAAAAGTCGCAGCTATTTGTCACTGCAACAGCAGGCTCCCGAGCCCCAACTTCGATGGCGGTCCTGATATTCAACTTGACGAAGCGGTGAAGATCCGCTCCCTTGTTCTATTCCGGACGACCAGCAATTGGTTATCGCAGCATGATCTTCCATCCGGATGGACGTGGTGGAGGCTGAAGTCGATACTGAATGAGACGTTGCCTGCGGGGCTCAAGGACCTTGTGCTGAAGGATCTTCCCATATGTGCTATCACCCCAGCGCAATTGTCCGTCCCTTGCAACAGAGTTATTGACACGCTGCTTGCCGATACGAACTTTGCAGGAGCAAGTTTTGCGGAGTCGACCCTCAATTTTGCTTCTTTGTCGGCGAGCGATCTTGCCGCGTGTAGCTGTTTCCAGCATTTGCATCATTTGGAGATTCACGGGTTCTCGCTAATCAGCTTTGTGATGCGACCAGACCTTATGTCGGAATCAGGCGCACGAGGCTCCAACAGCAGCGCCAGGTCAGATGGGCGTGCCGGTGTGCTGCATGCGCCAAAGCTGCAAACGGTGGTGTTGCAAATAGAAGGGGAGGCAATGCGATGGGTTACACCACGCATTTGGCCATTGCTCAACGCGTTTTTGGCTGGATGCCCGAAGCTTGAGGAGCTCATGGTGAGAGTGGACCGCTTCAGGCCGTTCAGGGGGGTTGACGAAAGCTACAGTGCTCTGGACAAGGGCGTAAGGGAGCTGGCGAAAAAGTATGGTGAGAACGTAATGAAACTCTCCGTTGATTTCATGATGAAGAATGGACAGATATACTACGACGATGAAGACGAGGACAGATGGCACGATGAAGACTTCTACGAAACGGTGGATTACGATGGGATCATGCCGGAAACTGATGGGACGACAGATGTCGATGACTACGAAGCTGCGGACGCATATCAAGTAGCAGATGTAGGCGAGGGAATTGGGGCCATTGATGTAGGTGAGGGAAGTCGGGTCAATGATGATGGAAATGACAATGACGATGGCGATGATGATGACGACGACGATGCTGACGAAGACTTTCTTACGGGTACCTGTTATGGCCTGACCCGAGATGCGGCCAGTGCAGATGACCACATTGGGATTCCAGAAGACGTGGACGTAACCGAACAAGCGAGTGTTTATTCGCCAAGATCCCCCATATATGATTACGAGGATGATGATGGTGACGAAGACTTTCTTACGGTTAACTGTGATGATGGCGTGATGTACTCGGATGCTGCCAGTGCAGATGATCACAGTGAAATTGAGGATTTGGATGCAACCGAACAAGTGAGCGAGTATATGTCACCGGCGCCCAGATACTTGTTTGATGGTCATCGATGTGTGAGCTCGAGGAGTCTTGCGACCACATTCGTTGAATCTGATTCCCAAGATGACATGTATGAAGACTACAGCATTGGACATGGTTCAGATGTCCTCCTTGGGAACTGTGGATCATCTGATGCGCTGTCGTGTTTGGGAAGCGGTAGCAGACAGGGACAGCTTGCCCATCGGGACGGAGACCTGGATGGGTATGTTCGCACGGAGGAAGAGAGGGATCTTGTAGAGGATAGCGACTACGAGATCTTCGAGGACTTCGATGCTGTGGACGAGCTCGTCGTCCCGCAAATGAGCATTGATATGGTGATTGCGGGCGTTGACGGGGGAAGAACGAATTGCAACGGGGAGGCGGAGACAGGGGAGCAGGCATGTGAAAGATGTAACACACCGAGCAAGGGAGTCTGGCAAGATTTGATTGCAGATGACGATGAGGGGTATGGTGAAGACGATTCTTCCGGGTTCGAGGAGGAGATCCACAGAGAAGAGACACTGGATGCAGGACAACCAGGCGTGGTCATTGCGGAATTCGAATCATACGATGTAGATGTCGTATTTCAAGATGAAAATCAGGAAACCTTCGACTACCTAGAAAGCAGTCTTGAAGACGAAGACTACGGGCATGGGCCGTACGGCAATGATGATGTCGACGATGATGTCTGCGGCGTGGATAGTGAGTTTTTCTCCGGATACGACGAGTCAGCGGAATCTGATTGACGTGGATGACATGATGCTGCTGGAGATATTCAGAACCTCCGGATTCCTAACCTACGCCGGGCAGTTCAGTCGAACATCTTGCATCCTCTCTCTCTCTCTCTCTCTCTCTCTCTCTCTCTCTCTCTCTCTCTCTCTCTCTCTCTCTC